GCAGTTTCATTTTTGTTGGATAGAAGAATCGTTATTTCATTTACAAATTTACCATACATTATTTGCTAATTTAGGCTTAGTACAAAGCACTTTAATTGTTATAGTAAATATTGCTTTTATCACACGTCTTATCATACAAACTAAACGAACACGTCATACTATAACACATAATAAGAAAGAATTAAAACATATCTCTATTTCTATTATTCTCTTGGCATTTTCAATGTCATATGTATTGACTGCACTACCTCAAACTACAGTTTATTTATTAGCGTTTCTATGGTCGTATACAAATGAGGTGATTGATGAAGTATATGAAGTATGGATAAGACTTATGTATAATTTGGCAGATATTGGTTGGAATCTTCATTTTACACGAGAATTAATTGATTTAATCATGTATTTTATATATCTGAAACCATTACGTCGAATATTATTGTATAAGATTAAAAAATTCATTAATATAGCTCATTCATCGAATCTGAACACGTCAGACCATACATCATTAAAATAATATACATAAAGTGAAATCACTAGTTAAAGTGAATAATGTATAATGCGTTGATAAAAGTTAGACGGTTTTAATTTAAACAATTATTCTTATTTTTACTGTTATTTCAATGATCTTTTCCTCATCTATCTTCTTTTCCATGGATTATTAATGATAACTTGCATTTCACTTTGGAAAAGTGTCTTTTTTTGCTTACACTGACATTAGTTAAGATTAAAAGAATAAAATAACAAAGACAACAATAACTAAGTTGCATATAACCAACTTATTCGATGATAAGCAAATGAAAATTAAATTTACAAATAAAAAAAGTAACAGTTTCATTTTACTTCTGTTTAGTTTATTAATAGTACATTTAGAAAGTAATAATTAGTTCATTTATCATATAAATTATATTCATTTACAACTCAGATGTCTTTTTTGACACTATATATAAAATAAATCCAATCAACACCATACCGTTGTCTTAAATTTCTGTGGCTAAAAACTGATCGTGCGGGCAAAACTTCAGCAAAAGAAATGGTATTCAAATCGCATATAATCTATTATGGCATATACATGTGAAATTTCAATAGCATCGAAATAAATAATATCGTGGGGAACAGACACTTGGAGCAATGGTATATTAAGTTACGAAGATCATACATTCAAAGAGTGATTCGCAAGAACTAAACCCGTACTAACTACTTAGGATAAGAAAATTAAGAATTACAGAATCATCACACATAAAGGGTGAGAATTCAAGACCATTGTATCAAAAACGTAATGTTTGAATCAAGAGGAGAATATAAGTAGACAGTTACTGTGCCAAAGTACTATATACAAATACGTTCTATGCGTTATCTTCATATTTAACACACATATAAGTCATTTCAATATTCAGAAATTCATTTTTAGCATTGTGAAATTGTCTTTGTATTTATAACTGTAGAACTCGACAATAAAGTACGTTATTCCATTCACTGTTCGACTTTTAATTTACAATATATAAACAACAGATTGTTTGAAATGTACATCGCTTGCATGTATCTCACGTAACGAAATGTGTAAGATTCTTATTTTACCATGATTATGTTATGGGAGTTGAATGGATTTTCATCAACGAGATGATTGCACGTACAGTATTTGCTGTATGGCCATGAAGACAACTTGTAGGTGAGATGATTCTAATCATGAAGTGTTTGTTAATATTCTATTCTACCAAGTACATTTTGTTCTACAATCAATCAGTGAGAACCAAATAACAAGTAATGATTTTGATTATGTTTAAAGATTCTCAATTATGAGTATTAGTCACATCTAATTTGAAAGCAAGGAGGGTCAAACAGTTTTCTCATCATAGTCTGAGACTCATCAATAGGGCTTTCCAACGACTCTGAATTCAATCGAACCAAGAAGCTTTCAGTGATTGGGTGTACATTTTCAAATGTGACAATGTCACGGTACAATGTGTTGATGTTTCATCGCTACCAGTCACTATGTCTTATTAAAACCTTGTAAATCTAAATGAAAGTCAGTCTGTTGCTCACAACACTCGATGGATTGTTTGGCTGATATCAGGTGTTGCAAAATTTATATTTTGAAGGATTGTTCCTAAGGGAATCGTGAAACGATATTGTCAGTAATACAGCAAACGTAGAACAGTAAATTCTATTCCGTTTCGAAGTTCCCCAGATCTCATCACATTTCCCATGCTTCCCCAATATTAGATCGCGTCGAATAAATAACATTTGTTCATCTCTGTAAACTGATAATGATGTCTGCAGTCTGTTGTTGCGCATTATTTCTTTAGATAATAACAGACAGGTCACTGAATAGATGTCTAGTGAGTTCGATGTTACTTGTGATTTAATCGTTCACGTGAATTCAGTCTGTCAGTAATATATATGTTAACCATGAATGTCTATCATATGGATATGCCAAATGTGCTTGTATTCCAGATGCAATCCTTCACTGGAAACAAGTTGTTAGGTTTACCTGTAAGTACATGTATTATCACGTAATTGAGATTCACGTCTCAAGATTTGACCAGTCCTTATCGGGCCATGTATGTTCTGAGTGGATGAATATTTGGTATTTGAAGTTTCAATGTATTTGTACGGTGGATAGCAGTGGAATATAAGATGCTTATTTTGCTGCATTCATATGGGTGGATGGTCATACAGATGCTTGATGTGATACTACTGGCAAAATTAAACGAGTCAATATGAGGTCGATAAACTAACAGTAATCGGAGACCCCACATATCCGATGGTTACTCAATGTGTTAATTTATATCAAGCCTGTTTAAAGATTGAAAGTGTTGAACTAATGTGCAGTTTGATGGACTTCACGAATAAATTAGTGCTCGGTGGACATGTAGTAGATAAATTATTCTCAATCTCTATTGAACCAGTTACAGACTTATCGATTGTAATATTAGTGTATACACATACAGCATTATAACTCAAAATTGTTTCATTTTCTCAAATAGATAATTCCGAGATCTTTGATTTATAGTCATATGAATACTTTACGACATTATTAAGCTTATGTTGTGGTGTTTTTAGTATATCACCTAGATATGTTGTCAGAGTATATGTGGAATAGCCCTGGAATCTCCTGGTACGGCCGAGAATGTGGAGAGTCCGCTCTCCCTATCGAAATGCTCTCACATGGCCACGCGTATATAGCCTCTGCCAAAGAAGTCCTACTCACTGCCTTCTCGTGTTATTTACGAAAATGAGAGGACGAAAAGCGAATACCCGGCGCTTTAATCGAATCTCAAACCAATGGTGCACATGGGCTCCAGTATCCTTAACGAACAAATGGTGTATGAAGCAATCGTTGGTCACCGGCTACCATGGGACTGCATCTCCTCACGATGCTCCACTGCCTTGTGGACTAGACCTTTAGGTCGAAGGCTTGGGGTTTGACTTCCTAAGAAATCCACCTGCTTCGGTTTGGGCACCCGGGCAGTATCACAGCCCTCACACAAATCAATTGAGATTCGTGTGGCGCATATGTATTTGGTGCCTCCTTGTACCAATATCTATGTGTTAAAATAAATAAATAATATGTGGAATTATTTATGTAATCTAGTTTGGGTTGTATTTTGCGTCAGTTTTACGAATTACCTTGTGCTCATATAAAGCGAATATTGCTTTCTATTTGGTATTTAAACTTATTTTTATGGGGACGCCAATAGAATGCTCCACTTGTTTTAGAACTATGTTCATTTCCGACTTGACTTTATTTTTTAAGTAATTGAAGATTTTTTAATCAATCTTTTGGTATGGTCAATTATACACTTCCTTAGTAGTTGCTTTATTTATGACCATGTCGACTAGGGTAATGTCAAATGTTTCAGCCACTTAGCAATCGCTTCAGTTTTTCTTATGAAATCAATGTATTGTATTGTTTATTATTTACTTAACAGTAAAAATGATAAAACATCTTACATGACTATTTTTGAGCGACAATGTATTCTGACATAATTCTTTAATAAATTGCTGATGAACGATTACTCGAAATCTCACAATTAAAACTATGCTTCCTGTTATAAAAAAATGTTTGGTTGAGAAAATGATACGAGTTGTTACTTAAAGACAGTTATGCGCACGCTGTAACTAGAAACATATAGCGTGTCTATAATATTACCTACCGGCCATGATGGACGGTTATTTTTTCGGTGCCTTATTAGGGTTGACCCAGTCTTATTTGGTTAAGCCGATAGACATTTCCGGAAATGCTTTACATTTCGAAAGGCTCACAAGCCAACTGCGTGGATGTTATTTTGTGTGGAAATCATCACCCTCACGTCTTGGCGCGTAGGCGTCGCACCAGAGGCAAGTGTAGTCTACATGCATATTGCTAAGACGTAAGTTTTCAACTATGAGTCCCTTAGCATACACATAAGTATATACACCCACCCGGGGGGCAGATCCTCACCGTTCTATTCGGATGTATTTGCAACCACTGACTGTCACGTATTACCTGCACATTACTGGTACAAAGAATTTTGCCCCTGTACTTCATGACATACACATAAGCACAACGCATATTACATAAAGGTTTGATGGCCACCTCTCTGCAGTACTTACAACCACATGTTTTTACCATTTCTTCCACCTGAGAGATTAAGTGGTTTATCTAACGTTCCTTGAGCCAACCAACGTGTGTGCCCTTTGCATATACCTATATACATTATTCACACAAGCTGAAACTCATGCAATTCATATACATAAGCAAGCACATCGGGAAGCCCACGAGATTTTTATAGTCCCAAGAGTGGAATCCCGTGACTCCGGTTTACAGCAGAGTGGTGGATTAGTCCGGTCTCTGCCGACCGCCCAAGTTAGCTAGCAAAGTTCGCTCTAATATCCAGCAGCGGCATGGAGAGGCGAACGGTAAATCATTTTATTCTTATTTTATTCCAGAAAGAATGCATATTGATGATAAAAGTGCCCGTGGGTTTTATATTTCTTGCACAAAATGTTTAACAATTTCTGGTTGAAATGTTTTAATGGAAAATTATCAGGCAATTATATATATGGAAAGTGTGCGAGTCAATACGCACAAATCGAAAAGGGTTGTTACTATAAACACGGTTTTCTTATATATGTATATATAAAGGCAGAATACAATAAATCGCTACACATAAAATTTACTGATAAACACAGATGCAAAACGACATCGAATGGATAGAAAGAAACATTAATTTGTTGTTACTGTAATAAGTAGTATTTTGGAATAGAATATTTTTAAAATAAACAATGCATAGTAGTAAATAAGAGTAGAGTAACAAAACAGAAAAGAGTAGAAAAGCGATGGAACACTAACCAAAATAAAAGAGTTTAGTAAGTGAGAACTAAAAGCAAGGAGTAAAAATAACAATCATACCAATTACACACTTAGAAATGAAAATGAACGTGAAAGACGTACCAGAAGGAATACATATTTGTTAGGAAAACGCCCGTGGATTTCATATTTCTCTTACAAAAAGCGTCCAACAAGTATATATATATATTACATAATATATGCAACAGTACAACTGTTTTTTTGTGAACAAGGAAGCGCCAAGAAAGTTAGAATTTTTAAAACGAAATCTCGTGTAAATGACTAAGTGCTTGCACACACACAGTGACACAGAAACAAATTATGTAAATAAAGTAAATCTGAGAGGACAAAGTAGTCGAAAGTATAAATATTACATGGCTACAAAAAAACGTAAGCAAGGCATAGAATGTAATTAGTTCAAAATTCACTAGTCTGTATTTGTAGTATAATTCAAATCTATGTAGGATTTTATTAAATTTGATAATACAATTGAATGTCGTCTAATCGATAACTGGAAACCTTTTGACACTGGTGGTAATGAAAATTCCGGTAAAAGAAACATCTTTTCTTCAGTTGAAGATGAACTTGACAACTGGTCGATTGCTTTGATACGTTCATATTCTATAGAATCCAGTGAGGCCCAATTTTCTAATAACGATAGATATCTGTGAAAAAAGTTAATAAATAGGCATAGTAAGCAATTAAATGTTTTAAAATATGGACACTTTTTTGAAGATAAAGTATACAACTTGATATTAAACATAGGAACAGTAGATCAACAATACGAAAGAACAAGATCAAAGGTAGAATACAATCAGTCAGTTATAATTAACGTTGGTCCAACTTGACATACCATATTAGAACAACAAGATAAAATAAATAGTGATTACTAAATGTATTTAAATAATGAGGAAGCAATGTTAATGAGTAAGACTAAACGTTGAGAATATGGTTCAAAAAGCCAGAATTAAATGCATGACGGAGTAATGGAACTCAAAATTAAGGGGAGGATAAAAAGTAAATACATTTGGGACATTGTGATCGATTATGCGCAATGTCGCTCAACTTCTACAATCAATGATCTGGTTTATCGAGCATAACCACCCCAAACCAGGTAGCCTGTATCTACTAACATAGTTCAGACCAACAGTTAATGATACTATGGACTAATGCTGAATCCATACAACTGGAAAACCATGGTATTAGTTGATACAGTAGACCAAACAAAGGTCGCCAAATGAAAAAGCCACATTGTGTCGTTCAGAAATATTACAACAAGTGCATGTCATTAGCCACGAAATATATATATATATATATATATATATATATATATATATATATATATATATATATATATATATATATATATATATATATATGCTTATGAATTTGATTCGGTTCATCGCAACAAATTTTATTGACCACTCGGTAGCCGTTTGGGAGTCGGTGTATAGGATGTTTATGTGTCCGTATCTCAACCACTATGTATATTTAGGATTATTATTTTTTCGCAGACAGCATCGATAAACTTTGTGACTAGAAACTTACTGTCGTTTTCATCCTTGTTTTAAGTTTAATTCTAACTACATTGTTGACTGTCCTAAAATAATGTACAGTTATTCAGCTACAGATTTTGAAAACATTTAGCAAAAATGTACGGTAACCAATGAATCAAAGTATTACTTAAGATTCCGATTGTAGTTGGACAATTATATGATTATTCTTTTGACGAAAAAGACCATGGTACATTTGACTTGCTTTGTCCATCAAAAAACATAAATATTTTAGACATAACTATATCATAAGTTTTAATTGAATATTTACAAAACTATGAATCACTAACAGAGTCTAATTTATAACTACTAATAATAAAAAGGATAACACACTTAAGCGTTCGAAAAAAGGGTGATTCTATAGTGACATGATTTTTATAACGAAGTAAATTTTTGAAAGTAAAACTTACGGTGTTATCTTGTGGAGGATTGTTAATTACATTGTTACTACATAACTATTAGATATTTGAATTACTATATTTTTATATTCCCCATATTGTAACCTTTCAGTTGACGTATAAACTGTTTTTATATGTTTGAACTCGCAAATTAACTGTGGGACTAACATTACTCATATTTCCTTCGTATACATAGCTATAAAAAAGTTGTTTTTTCCTATTTATGTTACGATGGTTTTGGGTATTTAGTTTACGTTATAAGTGGAATAGAAGTTTTATCTGCTTGCAGTCCATATGCTCTGACGTGCTTGTTAGATAAGAGGATGAAATGCAAATAAGCGTTAAAGTACAGGCCACTTTTTTCGTAATAGGAAATAAATTATTTAAAATTCGATTTAGACTTTACATACAAATTACTTACTTTTTACATTTATCAACACAATGTTTGATAATTTCTTTACGGAAAATAGGGAAAGGATTTTGTACAATACTTATCATTGATTGCAGATTTAATGCTATCACAGCCTCATTATAAATACGACTTTGTTCTTGATAGATTGGATCCGTACGTCGCTCTTCATAACCAGCTTCATTAAAATACGGTTCTGAATTAAGAATCAAACCTGTAGGGAACGAACAGATGCTAGAAAATTGAATATTATATCAACTTTTGTGTATTACCATGAACAGTGAACTGAATTGAATATGATATACGAATTCAGATTAATACAATATAAATTATAGATAGAAAGTAGTGGGGTATTTGCGTTTTGACTATTTCATGCTCTAAAGTATACTTAAAGTAATAAAGCAGTTGACTGATAAATGCCATTACCACTCAGCAAACTTTCTTGATTAAATCTAAACTACTCAAAACAACGTAAGTAGTAGTAGTCATACGAATTACTGAAAACTTAATCTCATCCTTTCTAGATGTCAAGGAACAAAACACTAGACGAGAAATTAGTTGGTGATCCTGGGTACGCAATGTTAGGCAGTCTCAAATTAGGAAAACATAGCCGCCCAGAAATCATTTCTGGTTTTTAACATTTTCCTAGTTTAAGCCAGTCTGTAGTGCAAACTACTAAAGCATTCACATAATAAGCATGGTATCAAGCTGTAATAAAACAATTAATCTAATAATGAGAAATACTTATCAATCTCACCCTGAATTGATATAACTAGTTGTAATAAGTTGGACGTTTCAGCACTCCAATTCTCACTGCCCTGGCCATTCCATGTACCCAATAAAGAGAGACAAATATGTCCATCAACATACAAATTCGGATTCACTTTTTCATTGCCAAAACTGTAATAATGTACCTTTAATTAAAAATTTATTGAGAAAAATCTTGGAGTACTAAATAAAAAGTAAGGTAATTGTAGTGTTAAGGTGGAATAACTAATGAGAAACAGGAGTGACAAAACAGCTTCTTAAGTATTGTTTAGGAAGTTTCAAGAATGTGTATTCACGACCACAATGAGGACTGGACGCAGAAGATTTAGCTCTCGTGGTGAACACATTAAATTTAAACTAGTGAATCTTAATTGGGTAATCCAGTCTTTTGAATTCACTCTGTAACCACAGAGTAAATTACGTATATTCTTAAGTTAATGTCCTATAAATATTAACTGATCATGATTTTCGATGGTGGTAAAGTGAATCATGAATCTTGCTATGAATATCTCTCTATATTTTATCACCTTATTTCGTAAAAATTTTCACATAAAATATTATATCCTAAGAAATGTACTAGAAATACATAAAAGTATCTACTTTTCGCTGTCGAATGCTAATGTTAAGAAATCCACAGTAGCTTTTTCCCTAATATCAATTCAATACTGAACTTCGAGGTTATCTGACAGGTTAATTTCACCCTTTGCTTGTATATTTTATTGCGTCTCAAAGATCATTCATTTGTTGCTAAAAAAAAATAGAGAGCTGCCCCTTGTAAACATGACTTCTGAAATATTAAGGTTTTTCCCAAGTGCATCACAGGTGCAATTGTTTTTGAAGTGTTTTAGTGAATTTGTCGTCTAGTTCGCGTAAATCAGATATCGTATAAAGAGAATCTTTCCCAATCAATCGCAATTTATTATTCCTGTAAACTATCTCAAAATATAAGAATAAGAAACATTAATACTGAGTGGTCTAAAATTAGATCATATGTGAGGATCTTGTTCTTTTTTTGTGTCTATCTATCTAAAACAATGAGTTCAAAATGAAGACGATAATCACTAAAAATAATCAGTATATGTCGATTTTCACACTAACCTTATGCTCTTCTACATTGATCGCTATTTCACTGAAAGTGTGTATGGTAAAACAACTTTACTTGAACTATATACATATACAAATTGTTCAATAGCAACTAAAGAAAGACAAGTGTCACTCCATTTAAAAGCTTTTAATTGCATATTCCAAGGGACTTAAGTTCGATTTATTTAAAAAGATATTGTCAGTTATTACAATAGTAAGATTTTTATGATTGGTAAAACTGAATACCATGTTAGGAAAGGTACAGAATTTCAATACCAATGTATTTATTTAGTCTACGAATATGTACGTCCATTTAATTCGTTGAAAGAACTATTTATGAAGAGGAGCAAAAATTTTACACTGCTGTTCAAACTAAGTGGAAGCATGAGGATTCGAAGATGTAGCAGATGGTTTGAGGTTGAATGAATCAACTACGTGGTAAATAAATTATCAAGTACAGATTCGTGTACCACTTTTGAGAGACTTTATAAGTGAGGGATAGTGATACTACCCAACTGCTCAAACCGAAGTAAACGAAGCGGAAATAGTACATGTAACTTAGTGGTCGAAAGTTGAACATCAACATATACTCGAATATCGCGAAACGCCGCTGGATGCCAACTCGGTGGTCTAGATGTTGAAAATTGATGTGCTAGACGGAGGATTTTGGGTTTGGTCCTCGAGTGCGAAGTCGTGGGTCTGAACTGTTGAAGGGCCTTATACTAGAATGAAACGGCCATCCAGTGCTTCCAAATTTGCAATGGTGGTCTGATATTGATCAATTTATGGTATTAATTTTTAAAAATTTAATAAACATACATTTCAGTAATTCACAAATTCTGATTCCCATTTTTGGTTTTACCTGCCAATATCAAAAGATAATCCATAATATACGATGTAAATGAACATGCGTACAGGATCTGAAGAGTTTAATATCTCAAGGAATCAAAAGTGTAAAACAACAGTTTTTTATGTGATAACAAATATGACTTTAAGACAAGTCACAAAAATAACTAACAAATCATAAGTAACCAATCAGATAATTGTAAAAATCAGTAGAGTAATGAGAAATAAAAAGTTATCGTAGATTTTACTGTTCGTTAGAACTACAATTTATAAAGAGGGATAAAAAAGCAAATAATTTGAGGGCTTCCCAAAATAAATAAATACAATAGTTTACTTTATGAAGCATTTGTATTTTGTCCACTAATAGGTTGCTAGGTTCGACACCCGCCACTTTACCTGTTTTAATTTCAGCAGCTGAATAACACATTAGTAACATTTAGAGAAAAAGTATGGCCCGCCACAGGACAGTGGCAAGCTACCTAAATCAGTAGGTTGCATATCCAAAAACTGTTACAACTAATTCCATTCTAAGTACTCAGAATGATGAAGATTTTCAAATGACATTGATATCATCAATCGACCCGTCAAATATCCATGGATGGCCAAGATAGGTCAGTTTGTGATATACTAATTATATTTTGGTTTTGGTTACTGAATGATATCACTAGGTCTCCTATAAACAGTGTGATTTAAAGCACAACACATAAACCTGTACTTGATGAGCTAGATCGAAAAAGGAGAACAAATCTATAGTTTAACACCGACATATCAAGCAAATAAATTCTAGTCGCCAACATGGTAAAAGTATTATTCATGGAATAGAACAATGATCTACCTGTGGTGGGGTTGTAGGATAACTTGATGGCAAACCAACATCGAAAAAAAATAAACAATATTCATACGGTGTACCAGATGCACCAATAATCATTATTGAATAAAGATCTATCCGGTCTTCGAATCCTTTAACAACAATATCATTTGGAAGAATAGTGGATAGAAGAGAGATCTGTTGACAATCAGAAACAATTATAATAATGATAGAAAGAATTAATTTTCAAATTATACGTACAGAACATCAGATGTCTAGAAAGTTTTCTAATCTAATATTTTTTATTATCGAATGAAGTGTAAAATACCCTGCGTTGCTCAAACTTAGACTAGTTTGTAAGAATTCATATTACCTGGTTGTTAACAATACTAAACATTACAACTAATTGGTCTCTACTAATATATATATATATATATATATATATATATGCATCTTGATTGGATTACGTCACTGAATGAACAATGAGATCCAGACACAAACGAATCCAATGTAAAACGAAACATGAGTCTTGGATTCCACTACTTGAAACAGTTTAACTTTATGAAAACATGTAAAAACTCAGTTTACATAACAGTGAAATTCGATTTGAAGTTGTAGTTATATCAATAATATTTTCATTGATTATAGTCTGGACACAAGAGAAATAATCTGCTAAATAGACCTCAGAACATCCATGTTTCGTTAACAACTGATTATTCTTTTGCTCAGAGGATCACAAGAACATTTAGATTTTGTTAAAAATGCTGAAATTTTTTTTCAGAAACGATAATCACAAGTGGATTTTCTTTAATTTAATCTTCCGCAATAACTTCGGTTTTCTCTGACTGATTCTTGTTGCTTTTACTTCGCTAAATTTCTCTACACATGAAGATCATCTTTTTGTTACTGTATACATACGGAGATGCACCAATTTGTTTTGCACTACCGCTCATGATATCAACTATTGAAATTACTATAATATCCGCCAAAGCTCCTTCTGATATATAGAATTATTTCAAAGGGAAAGTATGCTGGGTCTATCACATAAGACCAGGATGACGTCATTAGACACATTCATTACGACATGATCACTTATTCCGTGTAATGACTTGAAAAAGCAAAATTTATTCGTCAACAAAACGATACTATAAGTGTTCAATATAAATATGACATTGTTTGTTAAGACGTTCTGTTAAATAAGATAAACATGTTATTTGTATCAGCATTAGGAATATCAGTCTACAACAATGCGAAGTATCATAAATAGTCTGAACAATAAATTTATACAATTATCTCATGATGCATTCATCAGATCTAAACGGATGATATGCATAAAAAGTGTGGCTCAAGGTTGAGTATAGTTGATGTCATTAAAAATTAAGCGTTAAGACTTTTAGGTCATACTTAATAAGGTCAGTTTAAGAAATATTCATCAATATTTGCACGAATAGTTTGACGGAAATCGAGTGCCGAAGAAAAGGAAGACATAGTTTATGAAAATTATATTTGACATAACCACATGGCATAGAATTTAAATAATTTCAACGTTTCGTCCAGCAAACTTATCTGAACTTCTTCAGTGTAATCATCAAAATCAAAATTATCAAAGAATATCTAACATTTAACAATCAAATCAAATCTACACTAAATACTTATTCAATCATATTCAGATGTCGACTTTAGTTAGTATGAAATTAATTTGAGTCAGTAAGATGTGAATCACGTGAAAAGTACACAATGTGAAAATAAATGAATGAGTGATTGTGTGTGCGTGTGTGTATGTAAGTTAATAATAGTTGTCATTTGGTGAATGAATGTTAATCATTTGTCTATACAACGGTAAAAATAAAAGGGCAAATTAAAAATATCTTTAAACATCAGAGTGAATGTAAAATAACGCCGGATGAGTTAGAAACAGGATACAAGATCAACTTTGAAGGGACCAAAATACTTCAGAATGGATTTGGTATGCATCAAGAAAGATTGACAACGTCATCACTATACGTATGGACCAATCAGAATAGTCTGAACAGAAGAGATTGCATTCAACTGGTCTCCTTTTAGCAAATGATCATTAACAAGTAATTTGAACCTTTTCTGTATCCACTTTGTTTATGTTAAGTGCATCCCTTTTTCTGACAGAAATTAATTCGAATATTTTAACATCATAACTACGTCTTTGAAGATTTTCATTTTACATTCACTCCGATGTTTAAAGATACTTTTAATTTGCCCTTTTATTTTTACCGTTGTATAGACAAATGATTAACATTCATTCACCAAATGACAACTATTATTAACTTACATACACACACGCACACACAATCACTCATTCATTTATTTTCACATTGTGTACTTTTCACGTGATTCACATCTTACTGACTCAAATTAATTTCATACTAACTAAAGTCGACATCTGAATATGATTGAATAAGTATTTAGTGTAGATTTGATTTGATTGTTAAATGTTAGATATTCTTTGATAATTTTAATTTTGATGATTACACTGAAGAAGTTCAGATAAGTTTGCTGGACGAAACGTTGAAATTATTTAAATTCTATGCCATGTGGTTGTGTCAAATATCATCACAAATAAAGACTAATTTTTTCAAATCCGATAATGATTAGAGATTTTTTCCACCACAACGAATATCAGATTCATGTTACTATAAACAACGGAGTAAACATTAATGACAGTACTAAGAAAATTAAATACACACAGTATTGTGAAATACAACTTTAACACGAAAATGTGGACGAGTTGCGATTACAATTTATTAAAGAATGATGCAAAGTGGTGAACTAAAGAGTAACAAGATACTTGGGTAGTTGTTATTTTGCATCTATTTCTCACTAAATACTAATTTTAATCGTATGCTTTCTTTTGACTAACTATTTATTATCATATCGATTTACTGATCACAAAATAAAGTTGATAAAAATAAAGACGATTTCCAGTTCAGGTGGATCCACCTTTTGGTGGTGGTTGTGTTCTCTGAGCTACATGATCTAGTTGCGAAGTTTTTAATCAATGTCTTGGAATAAATTCTGAAGACGTCCAAAACGATAATGAAAGTTTGGCAAATAAACTATCTAGCACAAATAACACCGATTCTACCTAAAGATAGTCCTAGTTAGTTACTGATAAACATTTATTATTTGTGGTGATGCATGCTCAGCTACTTTTAATTACATAGTAATATGAGTCATGAGTATTAAAGAGGGGCTGCAAACCACTCATTGTATTTATTATGTACTTACTAAGGAATTTCGAGAAATATGTGAATTTACATTACCTGTCGATCATGAAACGAATAAAGGAACGATATTCGTGAATTTATTATTGATAGGCCGTGTAACACACAAAATGTGAAGGAGGTTAGGAAATAATGTCAATTGAAATGTCAAGGTTTCAGTTTTTTGAGGTTTTTACACAAATTATTCACAAATGATTAACAGATGCTATAAAATTTCTTAACGATGCAAAAAAGAAACTGATAACCATGTAACATCGAATTTGAAATATGAAAAAATCAGCTTAAGGCATTAAAAAAACTCACATCACGTCGTAAAGCCTTATGAAATGCTTTCGGTAGCGTTTTCTGGCTTGATTTATAAAATCGATGATTAGAAGGGGCAGTGGGTTCCATAATGAATTGGCCTATTTTAAACGAATAATTCGAAAAATGAAAGAATTTGTATAAACTGATAAGAAAAATAGCTCAACAGTGTTACGATATGATGACACCAGAGCAACAAGATCGAGATATAGTGAGAATTTACTAAAAATTGTCAATTTGTAACTATATAAAATGTATATTCATGAGCACAGATGACTGATCAATGAGTGGTAACTAGTGTCATGATTGTCTATTCTCTTTAGTGCTAACCGAAATCTCTTGAAGTTGCAGTGTCGTCATTAGTCTAAATACCTCAACATCACGTACACCATGTAGAGACGGTAAGTGGTCGGAAGTAATCGACAGGAAACACTGGACGTTCATGCTAATTAACAATCGTCAACAAGGTGTACCTGACTGACTGACTAACTATAAACTTGAGAGAACTGATGTTCACTATAGGATTTGGACACGTATCACCCAACTTCACAACTTAAGACGTTACGATTGAGACTATATTAATGAGAACAGTAAAAAAGCAACTTTTACTGTTGTCTTTATGACTTTTCAACTAAAAGTAAGAGAAGCATATAAAAGCGCAATATATTAGTATAAAATAAAACTGCGAGTCATATTTAAAACAAAAGTAATATTCAATGTTAATTAATTAATACAAAACAAAGATCATAATTATGAATACAATAGTAGTGTGAAAATGTGACTTCAAATAGTTTTACTTATTCAATATTACCCGAAACCCCAAAAGAGCATTAGTTTGCACAGTTTAACGAAATGCCATTCAGGTATGTTTATAAGTACAAAACATAATTAGATAAGTTCAAGTAGTTTTCCGGCCCATTTTAATTTTATAAGTCAGCCAATTCTAAGGCTGTTGCTTGTAAATACATGTTATCAGAGGATTGGTTGAACAACACAACAATTTTCAATATCGTTATCATCTACATGTTTTCTTTAGAGATTTTATGAGGCATACACTATTTACTAGTACAAATTTTAATCTTTTCCACGAATGAAAAATCACAAAGATACGTACAGTTCATAAGCTTATAGATTCAAATCAAGAAAAATATTAGCATTCGGAATTGTCATAATAATATTACCTATTGATTTCAAGACAAAATCATGAGAATAAATGTGCATGTTGTTGGAGTTAGACTATATAACATAGGATCCAACTCAAATTTGAGTCGGACAAAGTTGTCACGCCAAATTTAGCATAAAGAGATATGGCAAGGACATTGAAATATTAATATTATTGTACAAATAACTGAGCGATAATCAGAAAAAGAAAAGAAATCGCAAAAAAATTAATCACACAATGTACCGACAAGTTCCTGTTACATTGCCGCTAATTATGTTGAATTAATAAACAGGCTGAAGTGGAGTGTTGTTGAATGGGCCTGAATATTGTACAATATATTTTATTTAATCTACATGAAATCTCGTACTAGTGAGATTTTGTTAGGGGCATTGATTGAGCTTTTGACGTAGAGGTATAGTCCACAAGACAATGCAGCAACGTCAAGAGCTCCCGTCTCATGGTAGCAGGTGATCAAAACAAGGTTCACACGCCACTCATTCCCTCATGATCCTGAAGCTCTAATATACTATATGTTTGGAATCACGGTTTTCGAACTCCCCTCGGTGGAAATTCTGCACCTCTCACTTTCGTAAACAACATCCCCCCACTTGAAGACAATGAGAAATACCTCCCTAGCAAAGGCTGTAAACGCGATTTCCGATGGGAAATTTTCAACAAAGTGACAGGACTCTCCTCAACCTCGACCGTGTCAGGGCCTATAATCATAAACACACACTGCAAGAGAGTGTGTTATATTGGTTTTCAGAAGAACTAAACAACAATTACGTTGTTTACAACCTGAATAACACACACATCACAAGTATCAAGAACCCTGGTGGACCATTCTACTTAATTTGCAAAATGTTCCTTTTCATTTCCTTGTGCTAATATGCTGCAGCAACTTGGGTCAATGTACATTTATATTTAGCTCTGTGTTGATTATGACTGACTAAAATCACCATAATTCACTGCATATTTTGTAATAAAAACAAGTATTGACAGGATCACAAAAGAAATTGATTCAAACTCAGATAATGAATTTTTGCATCGAAAATTCACGAGTTTCAAGATTAGAAAGTGATTAACAAGCTTGATAAATTCGCAAACAAATACACTATACATATGGAGAAGCTTCATATATTTTTAGCAAAAGATACTTCATTTGACCTATTCATGTGCTTATCGGTTTTTAAATAGTGTACCTCTGTGCTAGGGGTTTTATCTTTTACATGTATATTGCTTAGAAAATCTGTATTGATTGGAATGTATACACGTTTACTTATTACCAACTAAGCTAAATGGGTCAATTTAGTATCCAAAGAAGTGATGTCACCTTACTATAAGCTCACTTTTATAAAGGACTAAAATTTAATCACCTGCAACACAATAACACAGTGCTTACCTCTTAGTTCGACTGGAAGTGACTCTACACTTGAGTCAGAAAGAATACGTTTTGTTGAAAAATTAACAGATAACGGTTCAATTGATATATTTCCAATATTTGAAGACAAACTGTCCAACATAAATTTTTCTACATTTGCGGATGTGGAGTCTTCTGCAACCTGTGTGCATTTGATGAGAGCAAAATATTGAATGGAGAGTAACGATAACAAAAGAAAATTTATAGTTTTACAACACAGCTTAGACAACGATTTAAAACCAGTAAACACTAGACAAATTGTTTAGTCCAGATGTAGAACTCCTCAGTACCGAGCAACCAAAACCACACAGATGACCGAACCAGGGGCTTTAGGCATCGTGATTAGCGCTCAATCACGAGACCACTGGGATGCAATCCAATGTTTAACATCCTCAACTTTAATCAGTTGGAAATATTACGTCTTCAGCATCATTGGTTACGGGTGATACGTGTCTTACACGCGACATGGTCACGACTTCAAAATATAATTTTAAGAATGGCTTCTGGATGTTAGTAAACAGTAAACACATTGTCATGTTTAGCATAGATAATGAAAGGCCTTTATGCCCCTGGTTTGTTCACTAGTGAGGTAGTAGATATTCACCACTGGGAAGTAACATATTAGAACAAAACAGCTGTTTAGTGGTTTCCGGTTTAAAATAGTTGTTTAACCAAATCCAGTTCGTGAAGTTAATTACAGGACTGAAAAACTTCTATAAACAATGACTTTAATATTGGTAATCAAAGTCCGAGGGTTACTGATTTGGGCACAAACATTCTGATATTATAAGATATTACAAAATCTAAGATTAAAATACAGTAGAACACATTGAGAAAACATTGCTCTGCAAATCAAACGGAAATTAAACCAAAGTGAATGTTAAAGGATAAAATGAAAAGCATATTCAGTGACAAACATCAGTGATTAACAAAGGTAATCTGATGCACATGAGAATTTACAGATTGGCAATGAAGGAATTTTTTAAAATTAAAACAACTATCAGTCAACACCAAAGTCAGGATTTTCAATGCAAACGTCAAAACAGTTCTATTGTACGTAGCTGATATTTGGTAAATTACCACAACCATCATCAAAAAAGTATAGGCATTTATAAAGTTATCTGTGACAGACACTAGCTATAATCTACTGTGATAGAGAGTAAACCACCTTGAGGCTGGTGTTATAATAGGCGACGTCAAAAATCTGATGTTGATACACAACGTGCTACGCCCTAACACTTCAGCTGACTACTTGAGCGAGTAGTTTATTTATTTATTTATTTTAGCACATAGGTATTGGTACAAGGAGGCACCAAATACATATGCGCCACACGAATCTCGATTGATTTGTGTGAGGGCTGTGATACTGCCCGGGTGCCCAAACCGAAGCAGGTGGTTTTCTTAGGGGGCCACACCCCGAGCCTTTGACCTAAACGTCTGATCCACAAGGCAGTGGAGCATCGTGAGGAGATGCAGTCCCATGGTAGCCGGTGACCAACGATTGGTTCATACGCCATTTGTTCCCTCAGGATACTGGAGCCCATGTGCACCATTGGTTTGGGATCCGGTTAAAGCGCCGGACATTCGCTTTTCGTCCTCTCATTTTCGTAAACAACACCCCCGCCACGTGAAGGCAGTGAGTAGGACTTCCCTAGCAGGGGCTATGTACGCGTGGCCATGTGAGAGCATTTCGAGAGGGAGAGCGGACTCTCCCCACTCTCGGCCGTACCAGGGCATTTGGGGGCTGAGCGAGTAGTACACAAGAGTGGACAAGAAAGTATATTGGGTAACACAAATAATATATATATATATATATATATATATATATATATATATATATACGTCTTAGAAAATAGAAGACATTTGAACAATGCAGTGAACTGAGAATTGTAAACCATCGGATTCCGGTTCAATGGTCTGAAAACAATGCTCCAGTCACGAGGCCTAAGGACATGAGATCAGTTGCAGATGGCGTCGGGGAGTCCCATATTAGAACGAAACAGCTGACTAATGTTTTCCAGTTTGCAGCGGTAAGTAAGTGATGCAAACCATGAAAACAACTTAATTCTAAGGAACGCAAAATTCAAATTATATATGAGGATTTTAGATGGTAAGGTAATGTATCTGGTTTTTAGAGTGATAATAGCTTAATTTGCAAAAAAAGGTGACTTACTGCTTCACTAGGTAAAGTTTTAATATCTGAAGAACAGATTGCCTTAAATTTGCATGTTAACTTCATATTTTCTCCCAAGTTATTGGCATGGTCATTGTTAATTAACTCAGGTTCAATGGTACATTTATCAGAGTCAGATTTATCTATTGTAGGTCGATGATCATCAGTAATATCAGTATTACTTGTTATCACTAGATCATTCAAATCTGATTTTTGTATACATTGTGCAGCGCATTCATGAAGCCATGCCATAATTTCACTATTTAAATCAGTCAATTGTTCTAGAATATCCTTTTGCAGGTTATGTAGAAATTTGGCCAATTTTATAATTACCTCAGTACTAAATTTGTAATTAAATAGATAATAATATAGATAATACTCATTAGATGACAAGACATTTCACGACAGAATGAACCACAAAAAAATTTTAGCAATAGGATACGGATTTTTGTTTGTCCTAATTTAGCTGGAGTAGTAATTAATAACAATAAATGACCCCATATGTCCACAAATAATAAAACAATACTAGTAACCGAATTTCTGAGATAACATGTCGATATTTTGTAGAGTTACCAGGTTGTGACAGAAGAAAGGTTTTACAAATGGATACTATTCGACTATTAAATATCATTACAAGACGGTTTCGTGTTGTTATTTACGAAGTAAATATGCAAGGGAAGTGAATATTCCGACATGCAAACCAAATATGGGCCAGAGAGCCTTTGCCATCTTAAGTACTATTTATATTTAATTTGCCCTTCAACGTTATTGTGAATACGTATAATTCAGATTGAGGGGACCCAAATATCGCATGCGGTAGTTAGTCTTTAAGAAAATCCACGGTAAATCGTCAGCCACCCAGATTCATGGGGCTGAATCTAAAAAAAGAATTAATTATCAAAATGCGAGGTGATAAGCCGGCTAAATAAGGACCGATAATCATGTTTCAAGATAATTTAGTATGTGATGAATGTATACGTAAGCAAGTGTACGATTAGTATATATTTATTTTTACCCAAAACCATCACGCATATATCCCTGTATGGATGACTTATATGCATACAGTCATGCAGATACGGCATTAAAACTTCCTGTACATTATAAGTCATCTTACTCTATAATACTAGTTAGAAATGCAATAAAAAGCGTGGACTGACTGTCAGTCAATCATGAGCAAAGTAGAACCCGATATATATGTGGGTCTGTTTAAATTCCCACACAAACTGAATCGGGTCGGAGAACATAGCATATGTTATCTCCTGTAATTCATGAGGAAATCATTCATAAAAAGTCACTTTGTGGAATGCAACAGTTAATCATGAAAAGCAGTGTACCGCATTTCAATTTTTAGTTAACATTAACTAATATTTTATAAATTTAAATAAACTAGTGCAATAGTACTGTACTGACGTATAGACAAATTCAAAGTAGAAATGAATCCTAAACTGATACAGATATACACATATCGTGTGAAAAGTTGAAAAAAATATGAAATATATTACTGACCTTATCGCTATGGTATAATTACTCCGTAGGCCTTCAATTTTCAATCCTCTTCGGTTGGAACGTAGCAAGAAATGAATTGTTTCATTTCTATTTAGTACTTCAACAGCACTGGATGTGCAATTATCTGAAGAAAACAAAACAGATAAGGGTAATTTTAAATTTACCTAATCACAAGAGAAACCATCAGGTGGACAATTTTAAAAGAAATTTTATGTAACAGATGCATTATGGATGAGACGCACTTTTCGTAATATTTGAGATTAGTCAACCAGATGTATCTCCATTCCGAAATAACATTCATATTGAGACTCTATCCAAGTAAATTACACTCAGTAAATAATGCTTTGAGGTTTGAAACAAAAAGTACTGGGTTTGAGCTTCTGTGTGGAAGTCAACACTAGAATGCAAGTACATTCAGATGGTGAGTCCTAAGTAGGACGAAACGCGTGTCTTAGATTCCACTATTAACGACGATCACAGCTCAAATGAATTTTAGAGGAAGTTTAACCATCTTAGAATAACCATAAACTGTGAGCACTGTTACTGAAACCTCGGGAATGCAACTTCCTACGCAAATGTCTTCTATTAATCTACCTAATTCCCATACTTAATAGTTAACGAAGTACGTAGTATTTGTACTGAACTGTAAATAATAAAATACGTTATTATAAGGTCTAGAATGAGAAAACAATAAAAATTAGAGACAACATATTGGAGTAACACTAACTTGAAGGATTTTGTTGGCCAGACATATAAGTTTCCTCGTCAGGGCTACTTTTTGTTGCGTATTCTATGTCCAACGGCTTGCTCAAACAACAAACATCTTCATTTAATGAAACGAAATTGACTGGATCGGACAATTTCGCTTGCTCATGTGTGGATAATGGAAAAGATTCAAATAAACGTAGAATAGCTCCAATATGTTTTTCGAATAAATTCGAACGAAAATCACACAAGTGCCACTAGAACGGAAATTCAGAAAAGCGATATTAATTAAAGGACTTTATATATCTAAAATTTCGCAGAAATACCAGATGGACAGGTTTTCAAAAAAGGTATTACGGTATTACTTAACGAAATATTGTGAATATAAAATCTGTCTTTGTTAGAGTTAATACAGACGTCTGAAGTAAATCCGAGACCGATTTTAAATACAAATAAGGTAAAACAGATTCGCTCATCATCTGTCAATACTAAAAGGTCATTTCGCGAGCGTTAATCCGGAAACACTATGGCATCTTCGTCCGATTTGACCGGTGTTAATATCGTACCACGAGCGAAAGCTGAGACAGCACTGATCAATTGGATCCCCATTAGGAGTAGCTTATGTCCAATTCGATTAGTAAGCTCCATCAAAGCCAGAAAACAGGTGTGGAAAACGATATCTTTGCGTTATATTTGCCTATGCCCTAAACAGAATGCAACCCCGATGCAATCAAGGATGAGTTTTATTAAAAATTGAGAAATCTCAAGAAAGAACGTTTCGCAAATATTTTAGTGCCAACCGGAAATTCGGATGCACAGATTGGGAGTCTAGGTGGTTATTGGGGACTTGCTAGTCGCAGGTTAAATAACGACTGTCTCGCACAACTCATACAGATTACAACCAGTTTCTGGCTAGCATTAATTATTGACACACTCATCACCGATATGCTACATGACGCTCTCCATTTTCATCTCAACTGTGGAATTAGATTGATCACATTGCGATCAGCTACCGCTGTCGTGGTTGTGTACAAGACTATCGAAGTAAGTGTCTGAACTCTGATCATGCCCCCGTTTGTCTTCCTAAAAGGATAAATGTAGGCGCATTGGCTGCAGTTACTTTTGAAACCAAACTTTAAATCGAGCTAGGTTCAGACCTAGCTAACAACCCACCCCAAAATTATGGACAAGCACTGACTGAATTTGCATGATCCCATAAAAATGTCGAGTAAAGTCGCTTTCTGTTTCGCGAAAGGTCATGCTTTAAGCCATGGCGTTCTACAGGCTCACCACAGTTAGTTAAGATACATCAGTCTCCTCTGGCTAACCGCGAGTTCGGCAATAAACGTAGATCTTCGCGTAAGAAAATTATGTAAAGTTTGTGTAAGGACAGAAGAGCAATCATATACTGATCTTGTTCACTTATTACCATTCGTTTAATTAATTTTGATTTTTAACCATCCTCCCTCTATATCTTAACAATTTTTATTCAGTTGTTTGTGAGACGCGTGTTTATTTCGGTGCCAATTCATACTAATATTTATGTGAATAAACAAATACCGTAATGTGTGATATTTGATGGTGCACAAGCAGGTTTGAAGAATGTTAGGGGTGGAAAAACCAACATATAAGTTATTTACCGGTAATTAGACTAAGTCATGTTAACAGATGTAAAGTGTCTCATTTAGGTGTAACCAATGGCTATAGAGTTTTGGTGACATAGATCAGAATGAATCGAAATGGTGCAGATCTATTCATTTTATCCCTTGCCTTAGATCACATGTTTTGAGAATACCGCACAAAAAGTTGATCAGCTTTGTGCCATAATTTGGAAAAATTGATTACTTTTATACCGCACATCGAAACTGATTCGAGAACCACTAACATGAATGTATATCAGTAAATTAAGCATATTCCATAATTTGTAATACAGGATTATACTTACCATTTTCCTGATTCTGTAATCCTTAATCAACCGAAATGCTTCGTAGAGTAATGACCGTCCAGTAGTGAGCATTTCTACACACGATATAGCTTCTACTTCATCAGCATCACTCCATACGTTTTCTGTATTCGTTAATATAGATCTATCACTAGTCGAATCTTCAGTATGAGATGTATTCAATGAAGCACAACTAACAGTATTTATTTCCGTAGGATCGATTAGAGCTGCATTACGAAGTGCTGAGTAAACCTGTTCAAGGATATCATCTGCAATGCCTGAAATTGTAACAAAACACCGCATTAGCCACAAAACAAATGTAACTCGATCAGAAAATAGTCTGTGCGCAGATTGAACGTGTTGACTGGCAAGTGAGAGTTTAATTCCAACAGGCCTATGAGTTAAAAGAAAAACAAATATAAATCATAATTTACTAAAAAATCGATAAATTGATTGAAGATATGGGTAAAAACATTTAAATAACCACTTTTACAAGTTTAAAAACAAATAGCTAGGTAAATAGTCAATAGTTGGACTCTGTACAGATTCAAAATAAATGGAACTCAGTGATGAGGCGGGACTAGGCAAAGGACAAAACAATACAAAATGAGGTTAAAATGACCAGATTCATATGAATCGGACAGTGATATAATTATACATGCTACAGAAATACCGTAAACGTATTACCATTATAATTGGAAGAAGTGAATTTATTTCGACGCGAACATCGACAAAAAATATACAGGCACATGAGACGAAACGCGTGTTTAGTATTGAACTACTAGCTACTTTTAAAAATCTAATAAAAGTTAAGTGACATTTGGAATTGAGGAATCATATGACTAACACAAGAAATTGTAAAAACGACGATCGATATGATACTACCACGGAAATATCCGAAACAATGAAATATGACGAGTTCACACGATACCAAATGATCTTTTAACAAAAAATCGAGTTTACTGCGATACGATTTGAAAACGAAAGTGTGAAATTGAAATGATAGACAATAAATAATCAACTTTATTGAAGAATGAATGACCTATACTTCCCATATCCTACAATCGTTTATTTGTTCAATGACTTATGGTCACATTTAAATATTTTGGATATAGCCATGTTGTTGTATTAGATGAAAGATGCCTATTCTTCTGACTAGTAATCCTGTCATTGACCCCAGTTCATTCAAGGATTTGAGTTAGTGGTTCTATCTTGTGAGCAGCCATCTGTCGAACACATAGTATAATTGCATTTCATCTGTCGATCAACAATCCATTCACTCATTTAACAATTACATGCCTTATTTAAATAATCGGACTTCTCCGTCATAGCAGAAATTTGTAGGTATTTTTTGAGTTTGAGGCGTCTTTGAAAATCAGACTCTAAGAATGATAGCTTTAAGGCTCATGCGGTTGACAAATATTTGAAAGACGATTTCCAAAAATACTCTTTACGATAGCATATAGTCTAATTTTCAGTGGATATACCATTTCCTTAATACACGGCATCAGTTGTTCAAGAATATATTTGACAGAGACCGGAAATGAGTTGATTAATATCAATAACTGCTTCAAAAAATAATTGTTACTGTAAAACGGTGGAATCGTATCAGCATTTTTATATTTTAGGTGATAATTTCATAAATAAGGAAAAGAATGAATCAGTGCACGAATTATTTTTCTACCGTAAATCATCTTCATATGTTGGTTGAGTAACTTGTAAACACGAACTGTCATTATCATTTTTACTATCAGATGAGTTAGATGAAGAAGACGAAGAGTAGGAACCAGATGTAGAATAAAAGCTTGAACAAGACGAAGATTCCGAAGAAGTTGAATACAATTCCCACTTTTCGGTCTTTTCATCATCTGAATCGCTGAATTCTGAGTCGAAGGAATCTTCATCATCTGTAGAATCATCATCCTAATAACAAAACATTTGAGACAATAACACATTAAAAATAATGAATTTGAAATACTAAGAATTTGTAGATCAAGAGCATGATATTGTTGAACTCCTATATATTAGGCTGCTGAGAGTAAATCTTGAATGGTGATCTGACAAATCTTCTCCAAATTTGAATGGGGTTGACGAGTATCGGTGAACGTTGTCGACCCTAAACATACGGAACTAGGTAAGGATAGAAAGTCTGTTGATGAGGTGTTGAATCTTCAACAATTGAGGTGGCTGGAGTATATGTTTATTCGTCGTTACAAAGATGAAAACAGTAAAACCAATTGAGTAATTTAGTGATGTGGAACAATTTTATATTTTCAGTATACAAGTTAGAAATCGGAACTTTACCTTAGTTGTTATGGTTCAGACAAGCAGGTGGTGCAGTACCATCGATCCTTTGAATAAAACATATATGACAATTGAAACCACTAACCGATCAATATTAGACCAATATAACTTTATACTTAGTGACTGTGTTTTATAACTGACCAAGTAGTGAGATGTCACTTACCATAAAATATTCATGTATATAATAATTTTTAAGAATAATAATGTAATTTGTTAATCAAACAAGGATTTATGTATTCAGTTCTGATTCAAACAATTTGTATGACAATTTTTAATGTAATGTCGCACCTAAATGGTAGCTGAATGTTACAACTAGTAGGTGTTGTTTCTTTTCAAGATTTTGACAAATATAGGATTTAAATAGAGTCGTACAGTAGCAAGTTGCATGTATACTTGTTTTCCAAACGACCTTACGACATTTACGGTTTATCTGATAAGAGCATTCAGAATTTGCTATGTGTAAAAATATGTGCATCATACTAAAATACTTCAGGTTCTAGAGTTGTTTATCAACGAATTTCTACCTTATGGTTACTGTTCCATTATTACTGGGCAACACACAAAAGTCGGCATAACTTTCCATGACATTATTTAGAGAGATTCTAATAACCTCTAATTCACAACGTTTATTTAAGCCCTACAATGCATAAAATAAGAATGACTAACTATTGTGTGCAGTATGAAATCAGCTTTCCAAAAACGAAATCGAACTAACTTACAGCTTCAATTGCTTGTAAACAATCGGTACGATAAACTTCACTTGAAGTTCCATCAATCCAACGAATTACTAGTTTACCTGATTCCGGAATAATATCTTCTAAAACACCAGCAGGATAAATTGAATAATCAGTTTCACTGGCAGATTTGATTAGAACGATGTCACCATAATTCATTTGATATTCTCCAGATCCAGAAATTTCATAGACACCAATTTCTTCCGGAGAACCAAGCGGAATCATTGGCCTTTAATTCAATGTAGTCACATAAATTCGTATTTAGATAGTCAGCAATGGAAAGTTAATTATAGAAATGGGAATAGTAGTGGAGTTGAAATTAATTGGGTTTTTAAAAGGGCACCATCTTCCATTGCAAGGATAAAATACGATGGAGAACAATCAAATTAATCATTCACATTAGTCAATTAACTATCAAAAATTATCTTACTATTTTCAATTTCACAGTTCAACAAAACCCCCACTTAGCTGATAGATAGTCATGTAATTCATGCAAGAATTAAAAATATCCAAATATTCACTCAATATAATACAACAAACATAGTAAACAGTTTTCTACTATCTTCAATCGGGATGAATAATTAAGAGATGGAAATTCGGAAACTATTTTACAAAGGATCATTCACATTGTGTTATTACTAAATTCCTAAGGTCATGGTAATTTTATAAAACTTTTGATGGTAAGACTTCATTTCGTGAATTAACTGATGCTATATGATCTACTGTTGGTTGATGATGTACCTATTACTTAGTTTTGCATTATATATGTCCTAGTCATGTACAGATTGCGATTTCTTATTTGTGATGCGTTTTGGTTATGTAACTGATATATGTAAGCCCGTGTATATTTAAATTATTATGACAATAAGGAAAATACAATAACAGAAGGTGGATCTGCTTGCCATCTTCGTTTCTTGATTGCCTATTGGGGATAAGAAGGACTAGAGTATCAAACAGAATTAGGATTGTCTAGCCATTGTTCATGAACACTAGGTTACTGGTCGAGTAAATCTTTAGTCCGATAGGTATACAGAGATCTACTAATAGGCGGACTTTATTATCAAGAGATCGATCAAGCAGGGAGATATAGGAAGTTTTAAATCATATCCTACTAATTATCAAGAAGTAAATTATGACTTTAAAATACAACGCGAATTAACACCTTTAAATGCATGTGAATGAGAGAAACAAACATCGAATAGAGATCCATATATTCGATTTAAAATAATTTTGGACTATTCGGTTGTTAATATTTTTGACTGTAGTTCTACCAGCTTTGGTTGACATATGTGCATCCTGTGAAGATCCCGTGATAATCCCACTAGCATTTTTAAACATAAATGGACGGTGGCTGGCGGTTAAATCCAGGACGTGAAATTCACCCTATTTGCGACTAAACAGGTGAATGTACTAGCGTTGCAGAGTTAATGTTCACTCTTGGACTCGAACTTAGCACCATTCGCTTCAAACACCACCGGGTTTTTCATATAGATAATGAGAACAGATAGCCACTCACTTGTACCAGTGAAGACTGATCAGATTGCAGTCGAAATATCAACAGCGGGATAATCCGTACCATTAAAAAATTGAATTAAATCTCATATTCGTTGTACAAGTGAGTGGTTATCAGGATTCAGTTGCTTAGTGGATAATGAGTTGGTGCTTGAAGCAAAAAGTACTGGCTTCCATTCTCAGTATCCACATCAATATTGGGATGCGAGTACATCAAGTTGATGAGTTTCAGAGAGGAAGAAACGCGCGTCCTGGATTCCAACGTTAACAACATTCAATCTATTCTGGAGATTTATAAACACCCTAGTTCACTTTTCTTGCATAGGTTAATCATCTTTACTAAGATTACATTTACACACTTACAAGGAACCAGTTTCAGAGCTTCCAGTTTTGAACCACTGAACAAGACAAGTTCGATCCTTCGTATTATAAGCAAGGGCTACTCCAAGATCTCTAGGGTGATCACAAGACAATTCGATTGTAGAGGATGGAACAGTATTTATTTTGTCAATCGTTTCTGTAACTACTACTGAGGAGGGGTCATTCACAATTGAATTCGGTGGAATAGGCTGTGAACGACAATTTTTATCTTGAAAAAATATATGGAAAATAAACAAAACGTTAGACAGGTGTGGGCAGATCCTGCGAAAATAACGGCAATAAAAAAGAAAAATGTACAATTAGAAACACCCCTTACAACTTATAAAATACTTGATATTTCAAATTAACAAAACAGGTGAACCAAAAATTGATGGGTCCGCAATAGAATTTGTTCACTGAGTGACTGAAACACTAACAATGTATAGATTTCAATGTTGGGAAGAAATGTGTACAAAACTTAAGCTCAAATAAACTTCCTTACGTCCGTTAACCCTTGTGGGGGATAGGCCGTCGACCAGGGATCTTCAACCTACTCTTTCCAGTTGTTCCCAAGTGTCTAGAGTCTGGTCAACAGATATGGAGTGTCTGTCACAGATAACTGTTTATAAATACATATACTTCTTTGATGATGATTGTGGTAATTTACCAAATGTCAGCTACGTACAATAGAACTGTTTTGACGTTTGCATTAAAATTCTATATACCCATGTTAATTGTTGCTTTGGTTGTCAAAAGGGGCATCGACCCCTTAATTTTCTAAGAATCTCAGCTTTCATCATGGGGCATCATAGTTCTTCTAAGTAAAAACCATTGGAATCCCAGAACAGAGTTTAAACGGTTGTATTGAGTTGTCTTAATAATAACAAGGTTCTTTTCAAAGGGATGTGGTTCCTAATCCCATGCCCAAACCTTTTCCTTTGTTAGAGGTCGGGACCGACTCTAAAAGGGATTCAAACGGAGTTGACCCAAAGGTATTTAGCTAATAGACAACCATGTTTCACTTATGATGTGTTTTTCGCTTCCTATCCCAAACCGATTTTCTATTGAATAATACCTTAAACAGTATTTGATGATTAATAATTCCAGGTAAGAAAACAAAAATACCAAGTTCAACTAAGGGATCTCTTCAATAAATTAACCCTTATAATTTCAGACATATACATATGATTACGGGGCTTCATAATAAATTCGCAGAAAAGAGATCCCTTTATTGAATTTCGTTTTTAATATTTAATGGATTTAGAATCCCATGCAGTAGTTACTTTAGGATATTTCAGCCTGTTTTACTGTTTAAAAATATACAGAATTTGATTATTAGGCTCGTCAGAGAAAATACGGTAAGTAAAGGCTTTAGTCAAGTATTTACAGTTACCTCAAACACCTGCATATAATGATGACTGAAGTAGTAGAAGGGTTGCAAAATAATTAAAGGTAAAACTGATTAAAGTATAATCTCATGATTTGATGCACAAACCATGGATTATTAAAATAAATAAACAGAACGTTGATCGACAGATGAAATGCAATTATACTATGTGTTCGACAGATGGCTGCTCACAAGATAGAACCACTAACTCAAATCCTTGAATGAACTGGGGTCAATGACAGGATTACTAGTCAGAAGAATAGGCATCTTTCATCTAATACAACAACATGGCTATATCCAAAATATTTAAATGTGACCATAAGTCATTGAACAAATAAACGATTGTAGGATATGGGAAGTATAGGTCATTCATTCTTCAATGGAATGGATGCCAAATTATCAGGTTTAATTCTTGTCCCATCAAATAGAAAACACCTCAGTTTCCGAGCTGTTGATATTCTAAGTTGTGAGTCAAAATTATTACGAGTATCGATTGCATAGGAATCATCCTCAATGGCTTAAGTAATAGCCTATTGAGAAAGACAGAAAATATCATACGATTAAAAGCAATAAACGCCAGTTACCAGAACGAAGATGATACCACAGGTGGGTTCTTCAAATATATCCTTTAAAGTCTAGCCGAAAACCTCAAACCATTCAACTGGTATTTCATAAGATAACTTCGAACCCCTCCGCCTTAAACTTATAGTGTTTATTCGTCAACAACCAATAACTGAATACTGACGATACAATGTCTTGTATTTTTATTTATTTATTTTAACACATAGATATCGGTACAAGAAGGCACCAAATACATATGCGCCACACAAATCTCAATTGATTTGTGTGAGGGCTGTGATACTGCCCGGGTGCCCAAACCGAAGCAGGTGGTTTTCTTAGGGGGCCACACCCCGAGCCTTTGACCTGAAGATCTGATCCACAAGGCAGTGGAGCATCGTGAGGAGATGCAGTCCCATGGTAGCCGGTGACCAACGATTAGTTCATACGCCATTTGTTCCCGCAGGATACTGGAGTCCATGTGCACCATTGGTTTGGGATCCGGTTAAAGCGCCGGACATTCGCTTTTCGTCCTCTCATTTTTGTAAACAACACCCCCGCCACGAGAAGGCAGTGAGTAGGACTTCCCTGGCAGGGGCTGTATACGCGTGGCCATATGAGAGCATTTCGAGAGGCAGAGCGGACTCTTCCCACTTTCGGCCGTACCAGGGCATATAACACAACATCAGTGTAATCTATAACACATACAAATTGAGAAAACCCAAATTATTCTCACCACTTTTTAAAGAAACTAAAAATCCAGGAAATAAATAATGCTCTATGTGTCCACCAAACGATATAATCTTATCAGAAGCAACACCTTTCGATACAGATCCATCAATCCATTTTATATCATACACTGAGTTGGTTGCATAAATCCGTACAGGTACCCAATCGCCAGCTCTTAAATGAATAGCGCGTTTTTCTTGAATATACTCCGCTTGTCGACGAAGAACACGTAGACGCCTTGAATGTTTTGATAACTTTGTTTTTTTGCAGAAGCGTTCTCTTTTTTCCTCAACATGAGTGTTATTATCATGATTAAGATCATCACCATCAACAGTATTTATTTGATCTGATGGTAAAGTGGTATTCGTTGTAGATTTGTTTACTACAGCATCTGACGAAATAATATTCACTGGCGATAGCATAGAATTTCCATTTGTATTAGTATCATTGGCATCTTTCACCGCAGTAGTAGTAGTAGTAGTAGTGCTAGTGGTACAAGAAGTGAGAGTTACTGCGATCGGTGGTAGTGGTGATGGTACTGCCTCTCCTGGGACTACGCCTGCTTCTACTGTAGATTTCAAGGACAAATCAATTTTCGTGGTATTTTCCATGGGATTCAAAACTGATTTATTAACCAGATTTGAATTATCACAAGAAATACGTCTACAAGTTAACTTTATCAGTTGATTACTCTCTTTCACATGATCGATTTGTTTATGTTGTTGATCGTTTTGATCTTGTATTTGTGATTGGTCTTTTGTTTCTTCTAGTGTATCGTTCTCATCAACATTGACATCACCATCGTGATTAGAGACATCAGCGCTGATATCAATGTATGAAGTGAAAGATCGTGTTGATCTATGAAATCTGTGAGCCCAATGAAAAATGTCTGTGAGAGGAATACGATGTCGTGGATCTACAGTTACTCGCCTACGACGACGTTGCGAAGCAAATAGATTTACCTGTGCCTATAGGAAAATCAATGGAAAAGTAAGACTTGACGAAGGAAAAGTTAACAGAAAGTAGCATACAAGTCATAAGTTAACCAATAGGTTTTCGAAAATAATTGATCGTCATGTAAACGATGGTGTGAATGGAGATGTATTTTAAGAGTTATTATTTTTATTTACCGATCAACGGTTTTTATGACGTAGTTAACTGTAACCTATTTCGTCTACATGAATTCTTAGAATGTCACCGTATATGCAGGGCTTCAGCTGATAGTCTTTCTTTGAAGGTAAAAAAAAAAATCTTTTTGAAGAATTTTCATTATGTCAATGTTAGTGTTATATCTTGTTTCAGACGAATTTAGCTCTATTGCTGATCTGTTCCAAAGCTTTTTGAAGTCTTTCCAGGATTTAGGAAAATGTTTCAAGAACTTCGTGATTTTTTATCCTTATATTTATCTACCTCCTCCTTACATACGATATTACATTTACTAAATCTAGTTTCAGTCCTTAATATCAACAACGCAATAGCTTAAACCCTTATCTATAGCGATATATATTGAACAAATCGGTGTCTATCTGAACTCATTAGCTTAGTGGATAATGAGATGGCGTTCGAAGAAAAAGGTACTGGGTTCCAGCCACAACATCTATATCAACATTGGGATGCAAGTACATCAACTTGACGAGTTCCAAAGCGGAAGAAACGTGCGTCTTGGATTCCACCGTTAGCAACAACCCATTTTATATGTAAATTATATTTGAAATAATCTCAGCGATTGAAATTTAAATAATTTCAACGTTTCGTCCAGCTAACTTGTCTGGACTTTCTTTTTTGATGATTTTGATTTTGATTATTACCCTGAAGAAGTCCAGACAAGTTAGCTGGACGAAACGCTGGAATTATTTAGATTTCAATCGCTGAGATTATTTCAAATATAATTTACATATATAATGACTTCTCTATACTCGGCGCCCAATATCTGTCAAGCTATTCGTTCTAATCTTGACGAATATTCGTATAAACAACCCATTGGTTTCAAAGATCTATTACTCTCTTCATGAAAATAAGGACAGCTCGCTTAACTAAAAAACTTTTTCGAGTGTATTTTTAACTGATCTGCATCTTTTATCAAATACCATTAATGTTTATTTTCCTATTAATTGTACGACAACCGTCCCTTACTACACTAAAACTTTTGTTATAAATAAATAAATACTTAACATATGGAAAGCTGATATGCTCCTTTTTGCTCTCAATCTATATTCATTCTACAAAGATGGAGTGACGTGGCAAGAGACTTCCAATCTAGTAATTAGATGCCAAATGTTTAGAGTATCCAACACCTCTGCAACTTCATACTCACAATTAACTGAACGTGAATGAAAAAAATATATATTACTCATATAAGTGGAGGATGGAATGTTTTTGAATGGCGTGAGAATATTCTAACCTAGAAAAACTTACCCAAAACGGTGTTGTCCTGCTTGGCATTTTTTCTCCTGCCAAAAATCCTGAACTTTTCAGATCTGTAACTGATGAGGATTCAACAATTGACTTTCCTATTGATTTTTTACTAATGACACAATTTCCATTGAATTTGCCTTGATCTGTTATCGGTTTGTCATCATTCAGTACATAATATGGAGGTGGAAGTGAAAACACTGCTCCAAGACCAGAAATATCGTTCGTGAACCATTTATATAATAACTGCTCAGGTCGAGTAAAATTGCTCCTTGAAATTATTGTTTTTCAAATTGCGCATAAAATCAATTAAAACAGGCAGATTATGTTTACACAAACAAGATGGTGAATATCATAACAGTTTATTTATGACATTTGGTAGAAAAATTCTTTCGATATCAAATTAAAATATAAAACGAGAGAAAATGAACTGAATCAACAACGAAATAATATCTTATCACTCTGGTTATGGTTTTTATTTTGTACGATGGAACCCCTAAAAATAAAGGGATCTCATCCGAAAAGCGTAGCCGGAAGCCGTGTGCACGGATATGGACATGGTTACCAAGTTATAATATAAATTAGAAGTATTAATCGAGAACAAACAGTTAAAACCCTAGTAATGATTTAGAATAACATATTTGTTGTGGATTACAATATGATGATTCGGTGAGTGGGATTATTAATATGAATAAATAGATTTCAGATTGATAGATATGGTAATGTGAGCGAGTAATAACTAATCACAATACCGAACTATCCAAACTTCTCTTCCAACATGAATGAAATGACACCGAAAAACAAAACAGCCAACAGCAGATGTTTCCTCTCTGGTAAAATAATATATTTATAGTCAAAATAAACACGATTAAGTGACGTAAGCTAATGGGGGATATTGGATTTGTAAACCAACCACTTCTTAACAAATCGTGACCCGATTCGTTAAGCTTTCCACATAGCAACCCCTTTTATTCCAATAAAGTAACGTCCACGCCAGTTCACGATCTTTTCTAGTCTACAAGCGGTGGTTTATTCGTAGCTATTAGAGTTTGTTTTAGGCATACCTGGGAATTTCTGTATTACTTATTAAATTTTGTACTACTACTTCTGCTTTTCATAAAGTAACATTATATAATTATTTAAAATAAAATCGTACGAAACCAAAAATTTGTCGCTTACATATTATAAATTTTATCCGATTCCTGCAGTTTGTAGTACCAAATATCACCTACTTGGCAGTTAATAAAAGAGTTTGAAATAACTGATTTTAAATTTCCCAAATCCAATCCATGAATCACACGCGGAGGCGGTTTGTCTGATTGTGAATTTCTTTTACAAAGAAAGAAGACTAATAAGTGAAAGTTTACGAAGTTATTTCCTACGTCAATTATCGCGAAATGTTTTTCTCAGATATAAATCATGTGGTTGAAAAAGTAGACAAGCGTAAGTCAGTTAGTTATCAACCTTTTATTTATTTAGATATTAACATATACAAGATGCAAATCCGTGTACTTGGTTACGAATTACACTCTGAGTGTGAAGGCTAGTGATACTTTGAGGTTTCCTAAACTGAAGTAGGTGGAATGAAACTTAAAGTGCCAACGTAGTAACTGAAATCCGAACCTTTTAAGCATTGAACTATTATGAATGTGCGTGTAGTTGAGATATCCCAAATCCAGAAAACAAGAGTGAAAATTCAAGAAATACGCAGAAGGTAAGAAATATTATCAGCTGTTATAAAAATAAAGACAATGAGTAAAGTACAAATGTAAGAAGTGGGATTGAAGAATGAAAGTATGGGAGGACACTGAACTTAATATTTAGAGGAAGACAGAAGAAATATAACTGAACCAATAAGAGTAATTCTGCACAATGTCATCTAACACCTATGACCGTAGATTACTGTTAATGAGCAAATCCCTACCTGTAAATGTACAACCTACAGACATGATCTGAAGTAAAAGTTGGTGACTTTGTAGATGTCTGTCCATTCGCGGCTTTTTCCCACCTACTCCTATCCCAACTGGCATTCGAAATCGGTGTACACGGTTATACAAACATGATCTGATACAGATTTTAAACCTAGCAGGAACTTTGGGTCACAACATGAGAGCAGCCTATATTGAAAGTTAAAGTCAACTAACCAAGTGAAAACCAAAAACTACAGAACAGCTTTAATTAGTCCATTGAAGATAAACTGAAGTGAATTGTGATTTCTTGAATTTCAAGGACAAAGGATTAAGTCTTTGGTCTATTTAATCAGGTTCAAGAATAGCTCATAATTTGTACTTGTAACTGTTCGAGACGAAAATATAAAAATGCCTGTAACGGTGGAAATATCGAGGCAATTTCCGCAGGATGCATATATATGCCAAAAAAGTGACTGATCAACCAGTCTTAAACACCAGTGGGAAAACAAATACGTTAAGCATTTGTTAACAGATATATTGATAATTGTAATTTTAGGTTGTATGCAGCTGATGAGAAGCCATGAAATAGGGTATATCTTTTTTTCTGCAAACGTTGTTGTTCTTGTTCCATTCAGTAACTAGTGATACATGAATATTGCTTCATACTGAGAAGTGACAGCTATTTAATCTCGACATATTGCTATTAGTTGACACATGAACTCAACCGATAAAATCATTTTAATGTTCACTATAATTAAGCACGAAAAGGCGAAAGAACATCAGCATTCTACAAATATTTTTCATATATATATATATATATATTTTCTAGGAAAAATGATTGGGTTATTTTCTGTTCTTTTCAGTATCAGAGAGAAAAATGAAAATATAGCCGTGAATTTGTTAATACAGTAGTTGTATGGCTTAACAACACTTCTGCACACGGAACATATATTAACAATTGGTTTATTGGCAGAATCCAAATATTTTCAGAAACCCGACTAACATTAAGTTGCATAATTTATTTTCCGGATACCATAAACACATCTATAAAGGATTAGAGAATATAAACGAAAATGCGATTTATGTGATCAAAATGAAATCCCTGATATTTCTCTTTAAACAGTTTATTATGGATTGTATTTGAGAAAGTGAACGGTAGGTAGATGTTTCAGAGAAAGAATTACTCTGTTAATTGGGGATAGTACAATAAGCACTTCTAGTAACCTTTGAGAGAATGTATCTATACATAGAAGTATAACTATTAGGTTAGCTGAAATCAGTGGTCTTGAGTGCTGTTAGAGGTATGAGGGCGGTTACCACTTCCCAGTTGCCCACACCGTGGAAGGGTTCTTCTGAGGGTACCACAATATATGACTAAACTTAAAATATTTTTGACAGTAAATTTAAGATTACGTTCTACGAACTAAATCTAAAACCCCTATATATATATATATATATATATATATATATATATATATATATATACTCACCGACTAGCGAGCCAATGAATGGTGGCTTCAACAGGAGCAAAATGTTCCACACAAAATACAACATCTACACTAGATTTTAATCGAGAAAGCCAAACAGCATTATGAGCGGGTGTTTCAACTAAGAAAATAGGTGTACGTTTCAAAAGACATGTTATTTGTTCAGGATGATGAGAGAAAGTTTTAGTGATAGGATATTGTGCAAGTGCCTGTAGAAATTTAATAGGATGTCCAAGTGGAAATGTTTTGTTGGCTGAATGTGAACTGTTATATACATCAGACGGTGGTATTGGTTCTGAATTTGCTGACTTATCTGTATTACGACATTTATTAGAGGTCGAATCCACAGGTAAACTGAGAAAATCAAATTTACTTGATTTCGATGAATTAATATTAGATCTTAAATCCAACGCATCACCGATCAACCAAATACCTTCGTAATTGTTATTCATATATTCATCTGGCACTGATAAAAATGACTCAAAACATTCTAGGCAATTATCTCCAACAAGAAGTCTAAATATAAAAATATGCAATACAGTTATCAAATTAAGAGTAGTGATTTATCAATAAAAATAATAGTATATAGTTATAATACGCCACTTTAATATGCTGAGTTACAAATTAAGTTCTTAAATAGAGACAAAAATATTCATAATATCATGAAACAGAAGATCGATTCAAGTTGTAATTTTATTGCTCAAAAACAAAGAAATCAAAAGGTAAAGAATGAGATTTCTGGGAATGATAAACAGTTAACATATATGTACCATTTCGATGAGTCGTTGAGCTGAACTGAATAACGTTACTCATTTACAAAGGACAAGAGTATGATTAAAAAAGTCAGAGAGGACCAAACCCGAACATGGCATCAGTCCATGAAGTTATTAATTGTTAAACTGGATTGTGCAGGTTGATATAAACTGCCTGGTTGGGATCAACACAATTATTGTAACGAGTAATTGAAGATATTGGACGGCGTAACCCAGAATTAGTTGCAATGGTGCAAATGCTCTCTCTCTCTTTTTGTTTTCTTAGATCTTGAATTTTAAAATTACCTTGGATATTTTATTGCTTAAACTCATTCTTCTCAAGTCATGTTGTCTATTCCTAATATTTTCTACGAACAATGATACTGTTACTACATCTACCATTCAAGTATTTGGTTTGATAATTTCATCCCACTGAACTATTATGGTATCAACTTGAACCAATACACATATATGGTAGGTTCTACATTGCTTAAGATTGACTGACTGAAGTACAGAGTTATGCCAGCAGTTTACGTTCACATACACTATTCGACAGTCATTTTGATTGATCAAATAAAAAATATGTGGAGCAGAATTCCAACCTGCAGTAAAGCGTCTGAAGATCAAGTGTATTTTAAGTAGCAAACTAAACTTAGTTTCACCATTAAATTTACACTTTTGTGTCAGTTTTTCGTCATTCTTTGTTAAGCAACAACTTTCGCCAATATTTTTGACCACTTGTCTTCTATTCGGTAACATCCCCACAAAGAAAATAAGCGTTCTTAATCATACATTGTAATTTTTCCTTTTGATGTTCTTTTCGAACAACTTTTATGAGAAATTAAATACGATATAAGCGAAACGATTGTTGGCCACATGAAAAAACACAATCTCAAGTGATGAAAGTGAACTAATGATTTCCTTGTGACTGATTCACAAATATTTTCACTAAAATATAAAAAAGTATCAATTATGTAGCTCCTTATTTTTATAAAGGAAAAAAATGTTGGTAGGTAATATATATATATATATAGGTCTTATGATCTACGAGTTAAGTGAAATATACTATTAAAAAACTTTTTTACATAAAAAAGAACTCAGAAATATTTGAAAAATATTCGTTAAAGAGGTAGATTTAACAATTAGTTACTTTTTCTACAAAAGAACAAAAATTTACTGTGCGGATTTTTCCATACGAATTTCAAAATTACATAAATGCAAGTTTCTGAAAATTGAGAATTAGACAAGGTGTTGACAACTGAGTTACACGTATAAACTCTGTTTATATACTTAGATCCAGGGAATTTAACAATAAGCAGAGACACACTCGATAACCAAACTATTCATTTAGATAATAAGCAATATTTGCTGTATTATCAACATGAAATTGGACGCCTAACAACTTTTCCCATATTCTACAAAGCTTGGAATTTCGAATAACAAGTGTTACAATCAAATGCTAAAGTCAAAGCTCGGATCTGTTGGTCGAAAATTTATCAGTTTACATAGCTACTGTTCATTTATATCCTGCTCGTGTTATATTATATCGCATGATCAATGGTTAACATAATTTGAAAGCACAAGTTTATTGCGCACTTACTACTTTAAGCTATGCCCCCGAATGTCCTGGTACGGCCGAGAGTGGGAAGAGTCCACTCTCCTCGAAATGCTCTCACATAGCCATGCGTATACAGCAACTGCCAGGGAAGTCCTACTCACTGCCTTCTCGTGGAGGGGGTGTTGTTTACGAAATTGAGAGGACGAAAAGCGAATGTCTGGAGCTTTTATCAGGTTGGTGGATACAGAGGGTCTACCTATGTGTGTGGCTGCCTAAAAAACTATCTGCTTAGGTTTGGGCGCCCTGACAGTATTACAGCCTTCACACAAATCAGTGGTAACTATTATTAGCCTCATCGTTATTGTGTGGTGCGAATGTATTTGATGCCCCCTTGTACCAATGTTTATGTGTCCAAATAAATAAGCAATTTAAGTTATAGGCTGGACGTGAAACTTACAGCATTAGTCAAATAAAACAGTATATATATATATATATATATATATATATATATATATATATATGCACAAAATATTTTGATTTGATTACGTACAAAATGATAGTTCTTAGGCGTTTTTCAGACAAAACTACCATGCACAATATCAGCGTTTACAAGCCATTTTATAGGGCAACTTAGAAAAACAAGTAAAACTATACCATGAAATGTGTCGAAATATGATAACTTTTAGAAAGTAGAAACATCAGTTAGTTAAAGATATTAATTAGTGATAATGAAGCCAAATAATTTTAAATGTTATATGACTCATAAACTTGGGATTGAAAACACTACCAGTTACTTTCAAAACTCTTTAGAATTTTCAGATAAAATCATTTACCGTGCTCCATCCAAAAATCGGATGATTGCCATAAGACGACAATCTGACACCCGACCGAGCCAACTGTCCCAAATCACATAGTTTTCGTCGACATGTGTAGTCCATGGCTAAAAGGCAAACGTATTTAAAATGAGATAGTAATGTAGCTCATATGAATATTAGTTTTGTTACTGATTGACAACTAAAAGGTGAGTTTAGCACTGCTAAACGTGGTTGGATTTGGTTTGATAATGTCTTACTTAGCCTGAACCTTACCATAAACAGTGAGGTGTTATCCAAGTTTTATACAGTAGTCGACTTACGACCTAGGCAGTCTCATATTTTATCCATTTCAAAACAGGTCTCTAAACAGTGTCCCATTCTCAACGATTTCCGGCATGTCTTCGACTACTCCTAGAATGCTGAAATTTTATTCTTATTATCGTTTGCATGGAGGTTAAATTAAGGCTAGAATCCGTTCAGATGCGATTTACACTTCGAAGTCTTGGAAGTGATTACACCTTAAACTACAGATCCAGACGCAATAGACTTGAGATCCATTTTTTATGGGAGCGGTGGCAAAATAAATTCAATCTTTTTCTTTAAAATACTTAGGGGACTACTTTTTACATACAATGCTGCGAATCAATATGTAGGGACGCTTAGTTATATCATCCACAACTCTTCATTATTAGTGAAACAATCTAATCCTAAATCTTATCTATATGGATTACTTTACCGGTAAATTTTCGAGACTACGGAGTAGTTTGCCGAAGTTGCTCCCAGTTCCCCAATATGAATCACTTCATCCAATAGAGATGTTGGCTATACTGCAGTACTGAGTGTACATTTCGATGTAAACCCTTTAGCACTATGCCTTCTGAATGCATCTTACAAGATTACTTTTATTTATACCCATGGTTTCCGAGTTGTATTTCAAAATAAATATGCTGTCCAATCTACGGAACATTTACAACAGACATGGACAGAAGCTATTTCAAATCAATTGAACAAACACGCTGTGGGAACGAAAAATACAATGGTGTTAATAAAATAAAATGGATCACTTACATATACACTTCTCAAATGATCACACTGAATATTGAACATGACCTTTTGGTGGTCTAGTATTTCTGCATGGGCTGTCATACAGACATTTGAGATTGTTCCAATCATGTTGGTTTCTAAGTTTTGAACGACCTCTCCAGGCATATAACTTCTGTCCAAAAAGTGAACTTCATCTGATTTTAAATTGAGTGGTATGGAGCTACTATTAGATTTAAATCCAAAAGTCCTCCAATCTACTTTAACCTAAATCATTATCATTATTATAAGTTGGTACATAATTATAACAACATATAGGATTGAGATGATAAAATAATTTAACAAGGATAAGTTACGGAAGGCTAACTATTGACTTAATATGGGTACTACTACCTTTCAAAACGTTTTTGATACCTTCACAACTACATTTGACTGATACAGATTCCTGAGGTCTTAAACGAAATGTTCTGACGCTCCTATTTGCGCTCAGTAAACCTTTGTTTTTTGTTCTTACTCTCTTCTCTGTAATGAAAATGGCATGCGTATCCGAATATTTATGCACAACTGATTTTTTATATCCATCAGTTAGAAAGTAGCATAACCGAGTGTGAATCTTTATGTGGGCGGGGATGAAGAGACCAGAACAAGTTATTTATTTAGTGCCTCTCTCAGAGATCCGAAATGAGCGCATTATGTCCACTTTCATATAAATTAGAGGTCGTCCATAAATTATGGTCTCACCTAGAGACCAGAAGTGTCCAGTTTAGCATTTATCTTCCTGAAATCGTCCAAATTACATGGAATCTCAATCTCTCGATTTTGGGGAAGTCCCCAAAATTTCGGGGTTTTTCTGCCATTTTCCCAAAACGGACAAAATGTTATTTAAGAATATGGAGATTGGGATTCAGCGAGACTATAATTTTTGGACGAATTAATGGAATTTACGATACTAGGCCTTAGATTTCAACGCAAAATTACTTATCCTTCTGGCCAAATAGCGTCTTGGTATTGTAACTTATGTCCCTTACCAACAACTGTAAACAACAATCCTTATCTTTCAAACAGATTTGAAACCCTCATTTAACCCTAGTCAGTGGGTGGACATCATCAAGGCTAATTTAGTGTCACTCAAAGGTCATCCATAAATAATATTCTCACTTGGGATTCCCCTATTGACTATAGTCAATATGATCGAAGTTTACTTCAAGTGACCAGTGGTCACGGACCTAGTTCAAATGCCAAACTAAAAAGCAAACGACTTCCTAGATCAAAAAACCCCCGAGATGTAAAAGCCTCTATCGTATCGTAGAACACACAAATTACCGTATTTTCATTTTCACATTTATCATGAGTAACTTCAGTATTATTTCGTGCTGGATGAACATCTGACGCTATAATCGAGCCGATGTATGCACTTTTTGTCGGTCTATGTAGATAATAAACAATATCACCCTTGAGAGCTGCATTGTGTGACACCATTGATACTACCGATGTCCTCGTGTAAAAAACTTTAAAATATGCGCTTAAAGTAGTCCTGAAAAGCTGAAGGTTATATCAGAATTTCAAGCACCAAATATCCATTTGTTGAACTACATTAAACAACTGATTTTGTTCAATTTAATTTTTATAGCTGGCAAAGAGTTAAGATCAATAACTTCATTCATCACAATAAGCAATATTGCATTTGGTTACTGCAGCTATTACAGATTTCACTGACAAGTGACGATTGACTTACTAAGAATCTTATGGTTATCAAAATTAGTTTAAGATCATATAACTAGGTGACGCTTAAATATGTGCAAAGAGTACTGCAATTTAGACCAATGGACTTATTTTTGCCTTCACATAACACTTGATGTAGTTTAATCTGTAGCGGTAAATAAATCCCTAAAATAAATAGCTCTGTAAGTTTTCGACATTGGATGCTGACCACAGTTTTAGTGGACTCATCTAGCTGAAGGCGCTCGGTCAAGCATCCGCATCAGATCACGTGTGGGAACGCCGTGCTCAACATCTACCGCAATCGCTAGTCAGATTAGTTCAAACGATCCTCGATATATTGATAGCTTACCAAATATATCTTCGATTTCCTCGCTTCTGTCTTTTGATTTCACTTGGTGGGTGCGCTTCATATTAGAAGGTGTTACTGGTTAAAGCGTTGTCAAACTCTGAATACCTGTGGCATCTTCAAATCTAACCTTGTACACTGATGAATTTGCAGTTAATTTAATCTGGAGATTCCATGGAGAACAAAATGTTGGATTTGGTACTCATAAATGCACGTAAATATCGTCTGTCACATTGACACAGTAACCCAGATCACTATTAGATACGTCATGCAACTTAACAAAGACATTTAGATCATACTCTATTTCCATCCTGTTGCCATGATTTTGCACGGGTTTTCGTACTTTTGTTTTATATTCAGACGATAAGCGGGTGACTTCACCTCATTAGGAATACTACTTAGGAAGAGGAGTAAAGGTGAGTTAGGATTCTTTCATGATGAACTGCAATCTTCACATATTCTTGTGATGATCAGTTACTGTTTTTCTTCACATACTGCCTCCGGTCACTGAGGTGGTCATTGGTCAATTCTCTGACTCTGCCATCAGTACCGAAACATTACGAATTTACTCTGTCTCTGATGGGAGACCTTATCAATGCCCCGTTATGTTAATGGAGACCGAATCTTCAATAATAATTCAACTTCTGGCAGAAGCCTAATGAGCTCTAGCGACAAAAATGATGAATGAAAAGGGGAAGCCACTCCGAAAACCTTTTTGTTTCCTAGCGAAAATAGATTTCATTACTACACGACGTGGGATAGCAGCAAAAATCACCTCATTTGTGGATTTAGAAGTCATAGTGCCGAAGGTGTTACTTACAATTTCTGATATGATCCATTCCTTAAGCTCGTCAATTAATACGCTCACAACTTACGACTAAATTCCCATTTAACTGACAGAAGTTTACTGATAAGTTGCTAGTTATCAGTTCAAATATATTGTTTTGATAATAACCGTATTTATTTTTACAAAAAACCTTCAAACTTAAGGTTTTAAGGCAAACTTAACAAATATCGAACCGAAGCAAAATAAAATCGATAGGTTGAAGCTGCGAGTAAACCAAGTCCAAAGTTTGAGAAGGAAAAATGTGGTGTTTGAATGAACTAATGACTCCTCTGTACTTGTTGAATGTTTGATTTCGAATTCTAAATACAGTACATTCGTTAGTGCTTGTGTAGTACTTCTTGATTCAATTACGTTATCCCTGGGATTATTAGTTCATACTATAATTCAAATACTTGTAATTATCATATTGGCGCTGCGATGGAACAGTTAGATATTCATTCGGATTTTGATGCTTATGAGGATTACTTTGAAAGGTTCGAAATCTGGGCTATGACCAATGAAGATGATGAGAATATTAATATTGTGGCACATTTTCTCACATTCATCGGAAAAGAAGCATATAGCTTAATAAAAATTTTGGCTTTACCGGAAAAGCCCATTTCTCTTCCTTATACAACTCTCAAGGAACTACTTCTAGACTATGCTAAGTATACAAATTTCGAATGCGGTAAAGGGAGATTTCGTAAAATAATTCATGAGGATATAAAAAATTCCACTACATTACGTCGCCCCATCCCAGTGCATACTCAAGATTATGCAGATAATTCATTTGGGAATTGCGATGCAGTTGACGAGGATGGGCACAAGTTTGGTCAATGTTTGTGCTGTGGTAGGTTCCACCCTTTTAATTCATGTAAATTTCGTAATTCTAAGTGCTTTAAATGTGTTGATGTTGGACATATTCAGTCAGTTTGTAATACTACTGTTCATGTTGCTGCAACTAATATTAAGTCTTTTGATTCTGATTCTGTTAATCTGAATATTTATAATGATCATTTATCTTTATCGACGATTTCAAAAGACAGTTTAGAGTCATATAGCAGTTCAGAGTTAAATGAAACTCAAGATTCTTGCGAGACAACAATTTCTAATGAATCAACCTATCAGATTTCTCATGTTATTGTACCAGATATGGTTTTTCCTAATGATTCACATATTTCTGGTGAAATTTCTTACAAATCTGCTGAAAATATTTCGAATAAACCTAATGATGATAAAAAAACTGATGTAGTTCTGATAGATGCTGATTTTTCTAACGATCCTTTACTCTGCAATGACATTCTTAATAAATTCGAGGAAACTATTTCAGAAGAATCGAATCTTGATGTCATATCAAATATTGTTTGTCCTCATGATGCATTTGTTTCTTGTGAGAAACTTGTTCAATGCGAAGCACGAGTATTAAATGAGTTAGAGTCTGATTACAATTCAGATGATTCCATATCAATTATTGTTTGTCCTTATCATAAATTCACTTCCAATGTTTACTCTAGTCAAATTGAGAAAGATGATTTAAATGAAGCCACATTATTCATAACTTGGGGATATGAAGATCCGACATTATTTCGTGGGGGAGGATAGTCTGAATGTCTATGGTTGAAATTCTAGGTAGCAGTACTTTCAGTACTCAACGGACATGATGATTGTACACAATCCCAGAAATCAAGTGAGTCTGTTCCGATTTCAGTTGTTTATTCTAATAATAATGAGTGCATTCTAGATAATACAGAGTCTTTATCCAATACATTGTCGGACAGACACAGCATGAACTTGAGGAGAAGACGTAAAATTGATTACAGACACTTAGACTCTAATTTAAGCTGTGGCGGATGTGGTGTTTGAATGAACTAATGACTCCTCTGTACTTGTTGAATGTTTGATTTCGAATTCTAAATACAGTACATTCGTTAGTGCTTGTGTAGTACTTCTTGATTCAATTACGTTATCCCTGGGATTATTAGTTCATACTATAATTCAAATACTTCTAATTATCATAAAGAATGCAACCCAAAATCTGTAAAAATAGTGGCATTTGCGATAAGTTTATTGTAAGCTAAATACTTTGTGTTCTTGTGGTAACGGTGTGAAAACCATCTTTCAAAAACTTAGCCTCGTCTTCAAAAGCATGTCTTCTGTTCACCTTACTTCGAGAGCGCTAGAAGCGCCCACTGTTTTAAACAGACCTACTGTAATTTTGGGCTGGTTATTATCAAGGCTTCTAAAGCTTCGAAAAGTGCTTATTGAACCACACACCACTATAACTATAACTAGAGTCAGCCTACCTACCAAGCAACGTCGTTATCCAGTCAGACGATATGAGTCGTTTTTATGAAGCCTGTAAATCACAATGTTTCATTAGCGTTATGTTTCGTCTTGATTTTGATTTTATTGCAACCGTTAGTGTTTCGTTGACCTAAATAGGTTTACTTGCACCATATTTAAATTGTCAGTGTTAGTTTACGTGATGTATGTCACATCCTTCCTGGTTATTTTTGAGCCAGAATAAAGGTGAGTTGGCCATTCTGTGGATTTTCGAGCTCGCAATATGACTAAGAGTTTACTGATTGTTTCAGATGCTATTTGACGGCTTCTTGTTTCTACCGTTATGTTCTTATGCCTTGTTATTTATCACGTGACTAAATCGCCAGTTAGAACACTGGCTTGTACGACCTTGGCATTATGTCAAATCAATTAAGCCTTAACCGGTTCAACCAGCTCAGAATCAATTCTGAGACCTTATTGGTTCCTGTCACCCTGCCTTGAGTTCAAAACACAATCTCAGCTTTCGTTATATGTATCTTATATTTCAAACATACTTGCTTTATACAAAGTAGACCAGATTACACCATAAAATAGAAAATTATTGTGCAAATCAAGCCAAAACCAGCTGTATGTGAGGGAATATGATTAATAGATTAAGAATAGCTTAATTATAGTAAATCATATGATAGTTGTCAATAGTTCATATGGAGGCTTTTAATAAAGGGAATACGGATACACATATAGTATAGTTACTTAACAGTTATTTAATAAAAATATATGTAATAATAGTCCATATATAGTTATTAACAGTTACCAATCATTTATTTTGTGTTAGGATATAACAACAACATACCATTTCACCGTTGTGCATAAGTTTAGGTTCCGGACTAAACTTTGATACTTTTGTTCGCGATATCGTCTCCCTTCTCTTTTTGCATCCAACAACTTGTATAGATGGTTAACATATGGTTATCTTGAAATGACTTTGCCATAAACCCACATTCTTCATAATTTCACTCAACCGATACGATCAATGTTAAAACCACCACTCAGAGAATTAGAACAATATACATGATCGAAAAATGTTACTTTTCTTTAGGTTGACATCAGGCTTTACTCTAATATACATGAGCAATAAACCAGTCAGGGCGTTTTATGAGTCACTGGCAACAGTGAAATAGATCGCATGACTACATATAACAGGTGACTATAAACTTTCACAGGAGCATTTTCTATGCCATTTTCTCGTAAGTAGCTTTCACCCTAGTTGCTTAACGGTGTGCTGATGATAGTTATCTTACCATCACACTTATTTGAATGCCAATACATATACTTCTATGGTTTTACACACAC